AAAAAAGTAAATCAGAGACATATTTATAGTAATTATGCAGACAAATTTGCCTGCAAATCTCTACCAATTAAGGGATACATTGTTATCTTGAAATTTGTTTCAACTTCTCATGTAAGAAGATCAACATTGAGAAGATGAATATTATTTGTGTAGTAAACATACACCCCAAAGCAAATAAACAAAATAAAAATAATAAAAAGTAAAATAAAAATAATATTTTTTAATAATTTTAACACTTTTTCTAAAGATTTAATTTTATCCTTTAATATATTAAGATCATGTGTAAATCTTTCAAGAATATAATGTGTATTGGCAACATCTAATAAAAAATAAAATTATTAAATTAAATAATAAAATAATAATCAAAAATTAAAATTACCTGTTTGGTCAACAACATGTTAACAGATTGAGAAGACATTTTTGAAGATTGTATTTGAATTTTTTTTAAGATTTTGTTAGATTTTATTTTATGTTTTGAATTTAAACAAAACTTTGAAATGAAAAATTTGTCTCTTAAATACCTGAAGTTGCTGTTGTAAATGAGTCTGTAGACGTTTCTGCCACCGCATCTTGATAAGATAGAGGAGCATCTGGAATAGAATCTTCAGCTCGCAGTGAAGAAGATCAACTAGAAGGCAAAAATTTGGGATAGTGCTCCTCTTGGTTTGGAGCAAATCAACCAGATTCAGTTCGTTGAAAGAGATAAGACATAGCGGCGTCGATCAACAGAAGGATGTAGATCAAGAAAAGAAGAAACATGCAAATCATTTTTGGAGATCTGTGAAAGTTGTGAAAATTTTGAAAAAATTTTGCAAAAAATTGGGATTGTTTGTGCTGCGATACCAGGCAATCTTATACCAAAAAATGAACGAAACTGAATAAGACTGTATAAGGTATTGCTTGTCATCCCAAAATTAGGTTGAATGAAAGGATTGGGTGAGCATATTTGGTTGCATCTGACTGCATGTGAAACAAGAAATAACATGTTATCACACATGATTATCAGATAACAGTATCAATTAACCAAATCCAGATACATCTCTGAATACCTGAAACAGGAGCATGAAATTATGCTCCTGATTACACATGCATGACTATGAAAATTCCTAAACAGAACTAGCAGATATCTTGAACCTATAAAAATTTGGAATGCATTCACAATTCCTTATTTGTGGATCATCTCATGATCTTTGAAACTGAAAACCGGTACTCCTGCTCCTGATCACACACGCATGACTATGGGAATTCCTAAATGACAGATCGTGTCTTGAACCTATAAAAATTTGGGATGTGATCACAATTGAACCAATATTTGATCGATCAGAATGATCCTTGTTTCA